ATGATATTAAAGCAAGACTATTTAGTTCATCATCTATCTCTGTCGGATACATGCAAATTAGCAATAGAGTTTGTTTACACAATAAAATTCTGTTTGTCTCTGTCTAACATATCAAAAACTTCATTAAATATATTCTCAAATCGCTGTCGTTTGTCTTTACTACAGACTAAAATGATGACGTAATCGTCATTTTTCGTGATTTCTTCAGTTCTTAACCAGTTAATCTGTACCAATCGAGCTAAAGCTTTATATACACGTTTGGTTCGCATGACGATACGAAATGTATATGTAAATGGTGATTTATCATTTCCGTGACAACATCTACAACTTGGGTATGAAATGGAAGAGTTTTATATACCGGACCCCTCAGACTTGCGACTTCATTCTTGAACCTTGACTGAGCTGCAAGATTATATATACGATTGGTTTTCATGACTATATGCATAAATTTAATGTCGCTATTTTGAATCCAATATGGCAACTGCTTCAAAATAACGACATCATTTCTGTAATAATACCTGTAATATGGATACAAAGTGCAAGCCTTTTATGATTCTAATACTACCACCAAGGCGATGTTATTCCAGATTTGATAAGACTCAGAATGGTGACTCATCTGGGTACCTGGGTACACAATAAGCTAACAGCCCCAAATATGCTAAGTAGCTGTACCATAAATGATTCACTGCGCCAGACTTTGTAAGCACTGGTCTGCAACCTATCAAGGAAAATGAAAAACATGAAAAGAATATTGTATGTTGAAGACAAGCTTTTACGTATCCACTAAGCCGAACTAAAGATCCAGTATTTTTCTGATCAGAAATATGCTGTTTTATGTTCTATAACATTTAAACTTTAACTTTAGTGAAGTTCCTTCGTTTCAAGTTTTCTAATAAAAACGTGCATGTACTTTTTCTCTCTTGATGTTAATACTTAATACGATTTTGTGTGAAAACTTGAGACAAATGATCTTCAATTCTGTTTGAAGCTGAAGGCGGCTCTGACGCAGTAAGTTTCAGGCCATTTACAAGGGTTCAGCTGCTTCGAAACTGACACTCCATTCTTCAATCCTTTTGAATGAAATTCTTACAGTATGTTCAGAAGATAATTGCCGAGGGTGCTATAAGAGCACTTTTTGAAATTTTGTTTTATGATGGGTTGAAGTGAGCACTTATTCTGTTCAAATTCGCGATTTTTTTAAAAAGGATCTAGTGAAAAAAAGGAAAAAGTGGGGTTTTGTTTTAAGCACAGTGTGAAAATTTCATTCTAAAACATCAAAAAGCAAAGCGTCTAATTCGAAGCGCGCCAACCTCTACAAACCGTATTTTGGACGAATTTTGTCTACTGTTTCGTGCTGCCAACCCAAGCGTTGCGGCGCAATGTACGGACTAGGAATGGACGTATTCAGATAATTTGGTGGCCCTATTTCATATAATATCGCATAGATAAGTCGTTCTGCAAATAGGTACGCTTAATCACGATCGCTTATACTCCTTGTTTTTAAAGCCGTCTACTTCCCACGTCAGTGGCGAGGAGGTATTGTAATCGCGAAAAATTTCTAAAATGAGATGTTATGATTTTTTTAAGTCATATGACATCTACATCACGAAAAACTATATCACTCATCATCAACTTGGAAATTACCGCTCGGATTTTTATGAAATTTCCACACAGGGTTACTAGTATGTCAAACCTTTGTAGTTTTAGTCCAGTGGCTACGGTGTTATAGGCAAAAAATAAAAAGTAACAATTGCTGAAACTCCGTTTTTGACATTACAGGGGTTCCTTATCATTGACAGAAAAAAATTGTACTGCTTGAAAAGTGGGGGTCAGGGGAATGTGATTCTAAATGTTGCATCTTTGATATCAGCGAAACACGTTCTATTATTAAAGAGCTTCTGATCCCAGTGATTACATTAAATTTAAGTAACGAATAAGGTGCTCACGATTTCAAAAAAATCGGTACCTGCTCTTTTTGTTTGACACCAAGAGCCAACAGATCTATCTCCAACTGCCGACAGTAGGGAAGAATTAAATCGGATATCACTCCAGTCAAGTATAGGGGAATTTAGCGTGGAACTTTAAAATTATCGATATGTCAATGAAATATGTTTTTGAGAACGATAATTTGGTATACCTGCATTTTCATTTGAATTTCATGACCCGTGAAATGTACCCATTTCGCCGTTACCTACGATTTGTGTTTTTCAGTTTGTGATGTTTTTCTGCATATAAGCAGGACATAATTGCCCAAGGTGCTATCAGAGCTTTTTACAAAATTTTGTCTTTGCGCAAGAATTATGGTGGGTTGAAATGCTTACTATTTGTGCTCAACTTCTTCATATTTTAAGAAGATTATAGTGGATAAAATCGAAAAAGTGGACCGTTAGCACTCTGTGGACTAGCATGCTGCAAGAGTTTCATTTGGAAATAATAAAAAATGAAACGTAAGCTCTGCATCGCAAATCGGTTTTTGGCCGAAATTCGTCTACTGTTTCGTCCTGCCAGTCCACGGTGCGTTCCGACTAAGAAAAAATGTATTCAAATAATTTGATATATTTCCTAAAATAAATTCAAGAACTCAAACTCAAATTCGTTTATTCATATCAGTAAACACAATTATGTTTACAAGGGTCATATGGTACATGATAACAATTGAACGAAGGTCATAAAAATATCTTATGACGTCAAAATAAGAGGACACAGTTACTTAGTTTTTGCAAAGCACTAAATAGGTAGGCATATACCTGGATTAGGTACATTTCTTGTCTACTGTAATAGGCAGATGGAGACGATGCTACCAGAAATGGATGTGTGCGATCAATAAACAAACCACAAGATTGAACTGCGGTGTCCAATGATTTTTGTATTGCCTTACTAGAAAACTCGGTTGGGTATTTGTTGAAGTTTACTAGAACTTTACAGCTTGTTGTCTGCCTGTTTCTACAAACTTCACCAAATCGAGACGCTGTCAACCTTATCCTCCGATGAAGGCGCGACAAGGTACAGTCCTGTGATTTGGTGACTTGTACGATCTGCAAAATCTCGTCACTTTTTTTGAGTTTCTCAAAAAATTTCCACTTAGCAACCTCCAAATCAATGTAGTTAATGTCAAGTTTTAGACTGAATTCGCCATAGAACTATTTGTATTATTTGGAATTACTATCCGAATTGTTAGTTATTTTTATATCACGTTTACTTGGTCTAAGTTTCTCTTCAAGATTCTTGCGTTTGAGTCTTTGTTCCATCTTAGCGATAAGCGAGGCTGAACTAAGCTTAGAACACAAATGTATTTAGACCACCTAGACAGGCCGCTGGGTATTGTGGCTCACTACAGCTGCAGCACGTCTTCCATGGTATGACCTCTTCTTGCAATAATTTACTCGTTTACCCCAATGTATTTTGCGATTATAGAGTTGAACTGCTCCACACTATTGTTGACCTCATCATGAATTAAACTCACTGCATTCGTAATTAAAATGGTCGCAGATGACCCTTTATTTTCCATTATCAGCCTTGATAAAAAAAGGCACTCAAGAACAATCACACCCTCAAGAGTAAAGCACAACACTTCAACAACACAATATCGACGAACAGTAGTAAGAGGAGAAAAATACTAGATGATCACTTGCTGAGTACCAAAATAAGAGACGATTTACATTCCAGATCGCTAATCGAATTCCGACTCTGTTATTATAAAAATTTACCTTGGTATGCACCTGCAGTCATCCTTTCCTCTTTTAAAGTAGCGCTGAATACAGTCCAGGGCCAGCCCACCCTCGTTTCCTTTTCTCTTGTAGTTAGTTTTAACAGTTGGTTGGAAACTTGTTTTTAAAAATGTGTCTTTCTATTTTATTTTTCAAGTCTTAGCGATCATTTTGTGCCACCCTGTACTGTGTGCCCATTATATTTTGAGACAATACACCACAAAGTATGACTTATACTGAAAGTACTCCAACAAAAAATGAAATTACTTTACCGTTACATCGGCAACAAAAGCCAGTGAACTATTTTAAATCAGTCTTAAGAGCTTTGGTACAGCAGCGATGAAGAAAATAAAGAATCTTGTCTCCTTACCAATTCTGTCTTACTATTACAGTTTTAAAACATTCTTCCTGCGCTAGCCTGTCGATATCATAAAATTTGCCTTCTTACGGATTAAAATGCTTACTCTGCCAAAATAAGAAGCAGGTAGGCGGATGTAACCTGCAATTGACCAATCGGAGTACCGATAACGAGATAAGGAGTGGTCAAACTTTTCTATAAATACCCGTCATTAGTAAAGTTCAGCTCATTGCAGTGCATGTCTTCAACTGTCCAACTGTCCGATTACAGCGAGAACCACTTTGAGAGCATGGAAACTTACAGCAATATGCTGCTGACCGAGGGTGTTTCACCGCTTTCGAACTCAACCGAATCTCCGCCACCGTATAGTGCTGCTGAGTGCGGGGGTGAAAATTACGGTTTTCAAGCTGGAAGAAACGCTTGTACAAGCAACTACCAGGTGCAAAACAACTTTGTGGTGAGTAGATGGAAAATTTATTCTAGTTTCATACATAATTAAAATCATAGGAATAATCAAACTCTGTTACCACTGTAACGAAGAGAAACAAAATAAGTTAGACAATTGTATTTTAACTAGTACTATAGCTTTCGTTTGTCCGTTTTTTGCTATTTGGCAGCACAAAGTGCTGTTAGTAGAATCGACCACCTTGTACGGTCTTATTTCGATGTTTGTATTTTACTTTAAAGATTAGTCAAATATATAAGCATCTTTGAAACTGTGCACCATGGAAATTAGGATATTTGAGCTTGACGATGGATAAAATTTTACATGCGTCAAAAAATACTTGGAAGATTGAAAAAATCCATACTTAAACTTGAATTTCTGAATAAAGACAGGTGATCAAACCATTGCTTGCTTCCATTGTTATACGTGTATACGCAAAAAATTTAAAAATCAAACCAGTCTCATAACGATCATTTACAACAAGTTTCCCGCATAAAGATACGTTTTTCTCATACTTTTTGGTACCAGGATATTCTCTCATACCAACTGTCCAACCTAGCTTTAAGCTTCAAGACAAAAGGAATGAAAATGTACACGTCAAAAAAATAGTTTAAAGGTTAAAAAAATCCTTATTTGAATCTTAATTTCCAAGCAAAGACGGGTGATCAAACCAGTGCTTGCTTCCATTGTTATACGTGTATACGCAAAAAATTTAAAAAATCAAACCAGTCTCATAACCATCATTTACAACACGTTTTCCGCATGAAGATATTTTTTTCTTATACTTTTTGGTACGATTATCAACCAACACCTATCTAAATGTACAAACGACCAACAGTCCAATTTTTTCATTTCCGACCCAGAATGTTCAAGTTGCCATCCAGGGAAAACCGCTCTATAGCATCCAAATTCCCTACGAATACGCTGACAGCCAAGATAAAAGATCGACAGGTGAGTCACGATAGTGATAAGCAATACCAAATTTTGTTTTCAGTACTATGACTAATAACCGACGGTGAGCTACTCGTATATATACAAATTCAAATACAGAATATCGATTGGGAAACCGATCCGCATAAACATGTGCCATTTTTTATTTCGTTTGAGCCACGCAACACATACCACTATTCACTGACACTAACTCTATACAAATGAATGAGATACCTGTAAAAACATCGTTCCAAATTCTTTCGCTTTTTTGTTTCCGATGCGATGAACCGATACGGCGGATTATATCCATTGTCGCCAAACACGACCACATAATATTGTTATTGAGACAGGGCGGTACTCAAACTTCCAAAGGGCTATAACTTTGTTACTTTAACTTTACCAGGAAAATGGTAAAGGAAAAAAACATTTCTTTTGATCAAATCTACTCACTGTTAAAATAAATGACTCAACTTCGAAGTCACCCTGTATGCATATTTTATATTTTTTTCCACAAAATTATCATTTAGTTATTGATCGTTTCTAAGAAAATGACTGTGGCATCGATTCTCAAATAGTACTGTTTCAAAAGAATTTATCAAAGTCGGTTGCTGAGATTGCACGAACAGGCTAACAGGAGTGGCTAGAAGTTTCACAGTACGGTTATCCCAAAGCGCTAAAGAGCATATTGTTCCAAACGAATTAAATGAGGATTTTTGAACATATATTTTTTTTAAAGAAATCGTTAATCAACAGTCAGTTTTTACAAACTTTATAGTAAACAAAGTTCTCTAGTCTGTGTTTAGAACACTGGCCTTGAGAACAACAGTACTCAAGTGCGAATATTAACAACAATATATTCAACAATTCAAGTGACATTTGAGTGTTTTAATTAATTTCTGAATATATGTGCTCTTACACTATTTGGTAGATTATTATATGTTCTTACTGCATGAGTGACATGGTTATTTAATCCTATACTAGCTCTAGCAGGAATCCGGTACAAGTCATTGTTTTTGTTAAATCATTTCATATTAATCTAATTCTAACCGCTCATCTAGTTTACTAAAATTCAGGTCTGTTTACATATTATCCGAGTTCTCAGGTCGGTCATAGTTGAACAAAATAATTAATATTCCATTTTGCGAAAGGTGTGCCCCAAGTTTTACCACACTTCCTCCAAATAGGTAAAATATATCTAAAGTGTGACAAGGAAAATGCATTATTAATGTTTATTTTACTTTTTGTAGTTACGTAGTATCTGTTCAGTACAAAGCAGCTGTCATCGACGTTGTCTTATCCAAAAAATTGTTCTCTTCTATAATTAAACCCAAGCATTTGATGCTTTATTCTTTTTCTATTCTATCGTTATTTATTCTTATACAAGTTTTCAATTATTTTATTCTTCTCTTCAAAAATTAGATATTTTTATCGATGTTGATCTTCAATATATTTGAATACAACCATTTACGGTAAAGAGCAATATCTAAACTTAATTCCTCACCACCCAGAGCCTGCTCATGATTTCCTTATAGAGAACTGCGTGGTCAGTAAAATTACTCGTAAAATACCTTACATTATGATTAGCACTTTTTAGATTTAGATCATATAGAGATAAACATTGTCCTAAGATGACCCCTGAGGAACATCATACTTCCTAAATAACGAGTCGCTATTTGTTTCACCCATTTTCACATATTGTTTCCTGTTAAGTAAATGAGTTCCAATCAAATTATACATAGCACCAATATGTCCCACATTTTGAACTTATCTAATAATATATTGACATCTGCCACATCAAATGATTTTTTAAAGCTGTCAACACCGCTATAACCACTTGCTCTTCATCCAGCGCCCTTGGGATATGATTTACAAAATCAACTGCAACTGAAAGAGTTCTACTTTTTTTTATGATCCCATAGTGGTAACTCTCAGCTAATGTGTTTTCATTTTTGAACGACAACCTTCTTTTTTTATAATTTTGTCAACAATTTTAGATAGAACACTGATCACAGATATTTGCCTACAATTATTCATCGAGTCTTTATCGCCTGATTTATAAAGTGAAGTAATTTCACTGATTTTAAGCTTATTTACTCATTTTAATTATTTATTTGCCATAGTAATATTCACTGTTTGTACCTTCTGTTGAACAAGACATTAAAATCAGTTATAGCCTACAGTTTTTATTTCATAATCTACCTATGGCTTATGAATTTTGAGGCTGTTTCACATTCACTAACAGTAACTTATGATCCAACAGGGCATTTTCCTTAACACTCACATTATAATCTATCTTATTACCACGAACACTGAGAATTCACATATTAAAGTGTTTATTTTGCAGTTATTTATGGTTAACAAATTTGTATAGTTAAAAGTCACTAGATAATCTTCTAGTAGGTTTATGGTGACACCTCCTAATATTAAATGATTTCTTGGACGCTTAAGGAGGATGGACTCGAGATACGAAAAAAATCATTATTGCTGTACGATGATGGATTGTATGTTACACTAATTTTAACACTTTGTTCACCTAAACCAACACACATCTAGTTTACGATGCCATTGGACACAGAAGAGTAGTCTTTAACTCAAAAAGGCGGTTCTGCAACCACGATTCACAAAGCACTAGTCTTCTTTGAACATACTATATTGCACAAGACCGTTATTATTCCTGATACACTAGCAATTGATTTAAGCAATTTTAAGTCGTTTTCGAGCCTCTTCTAGTCTTCCAACTGCTCCTTAATTTCACCTAACAGAACTTTAGATCGCTCATATTTCCGTAGGAAAACGCTTCTATCCCCAATCCCTAGGAATTTGTAGCCTTTTTCATCTTTGAGCAACCTTGCAGCTTTGTACAGTTTAGCATTCGCTTTTGTGAGCTCAGGTTTAGAAGTACTTTATTATCGGTTGCGTAGCTTAAATCTTGGGATTGAAAAAACAGTGGGCTTTTGGTTTATTGGAACATCATAGTAGCTACCGATCTCGTTTATGATTTCTGGTGGGCTTTCATCTTCTTTACAAGGTACTCCATGAAAGAACAGGTTACAGGTTCTTGACATCTTTTGTTCAACTGTTTTTTAATATCATCTAATTCCTTTTGTAAATTAATTTTGACCTGCTCAGTAAATTTCATTATCATTCATGCTCATGTTCATATAATTTTAGACATTGCCAGACCGGTCATATGCTTCCAAATACTGCATTTATAACATAACATATCATCTTGGTCATCAAAGACAGACCTATTGCACAAGCCTTTGCAGTTGTAGTCGCCAGCTGATTTAACTTATTTAAATCCACTGGTACTGTTTTACCTTGTTATGCACTTGTGTAGACTGGTCTAAGACAGTACTAGAACTCACGTTTCATATTTAATTTCTCGATTTTCTGATAGAAACAACAACTTGATCGAGTAAGAGAAGAACTAAACAACTCGCACATATCACAGTATATTCTGAACATTTATTTGCCAATACTAAAACTGAAAATCACCAGTGAGTAGCCAAACTAAAAAGCTTGTTTCTTTTCAGATACAGAAAAAAGTCCTCCACCAGGTCCAATCAGTCCAAAGCCGAACTCAAGCGGTGCTCCAAATACCAAACGAGCCAGAACAGCTTATACTTCATCCCAACTTGTTCAACTGGAGAAAGAGTTCTACACTAACAAGTACCTGTGCCGATCAAGACGTATCCGAATTGCTGAAGACTTGAACCTGACGGAACGTCAGATCAAAATCTGGTTCCAAAACAGAAGGATGAAATGTAAAAAGGAACAAAAACAAAGAAGGCCCTCTCCTGGATTAGACAACGGGACCTCTCCTACTCTGTCAGTTGCTGCATCAACTCCTACTTCAAATAGCAAGCCAACGGTCCAAACGCTGAGGCCTGAGCAACGTTTGGTGACTGAGGGGCAGGCAGGTCATAGTCAATGCTTACCACAAACTATACAGAGAAACCAGTGGGAAGGTAACGTCTTCTCCAGCAGCCAATGTCAAAGTCCATGCCAAAACGTCCAACTAGATCCGAGTTATCAATACCAACATCATCCAGTCAACTGCTATCCTGTGAAATATATGCAACTTGTGGAGGATAAGCCATTAAATCAGCCCTTCCTCAACATCCAAACAAATGAAGGCGGTGAGAGTGAGTGTCCTATTGGTTGGGACAACCTATATTCATGCATTATAGGTGCCATTGATTGTCTCACGAGTTTGTAAATGTACTCTACTTCTCCTAAATGCCACACACACTTTTTTGTTGCTTAATTCTTTCTTAACTCGAAACGAGAGAAGTAGGTACATAGCTCAAGCAAGGTCTTGCAATGCGACTTTGCAATGCTAATCAGCGGGATTCATCCTGAATGCTTTTGGCATATTGATTGAATCCAGTAAGAATTGCTTAGCATTCATTTGTATATCGTCGGGTTACTGCAAAAACCAGATAACTTACATTTTTATACTTCGGAAATATGAATATCTTGAACGTCATTGTTAAATTAAAAATTAAACAATGAAATAAACTGCTTTTTTATTAACAAAATAAATTATCAGAAGTCTAAAAACAGCAGTAAAACATATTCATATCATTTAGAAAAGTATTAACAACAAACCATTCTTTGCACTTGTCTTGTTTTGGATGTATACATTTCTATACCTCAGATATTTTACTCTTCCTATACCGGTTCTTCTTCAAGATCAAAATACTCTGCTGCTGGTTTTGAAATAAGATCCTTTACTTCTTTAGAGGTCGGACCCGATTTATAATAATAATATTTCTCTGGAATAACAATACTTTTACAAAGTTAGCTAATCTTGCTTTTTCTTTATTGATATTGGTATAATATTTCTATACGCATCTTTCAATTTGGTTTGACTGTGGAGATTGTCCTTCTCCTGATGAAATTTCTAAATTTAAAAAATCTTCAATTGTTCAACCTTATACGGTTTTTTATTCTATCTAGACGATGATGAAAATCGTCAACCAGTCCTGGATTGTATAAATAGGAACTTCTGCGCCTTTTCAATTGCACTGAGCATAATTCCGACCTCCATTTAGATGTGGCCTGATTTTAAAAACGTTTGCACTATAACTTGAATATTTGGATTAATTTGGACCATGTACAGC